CAATGCTGTGTTTCACATCATTTCTGCTGCACAGCAACGTAGGTTAATTTAATGTACATGTAAACAAGGTTGAGTAAAATATTGTCCCACATGCTGTTATTTCCCCTTTGTTTTATATCAATATTTTCTACGAATTTGGCTAGAGTCAGCAGTGTCACTTACTGCATCACGCCTGTGAGTCAAACAATCGGAGACTCTATGAGCCCCCTAAAAAAGTCTGGGAGCAGATCCCCAAATCTGTCCATCTATCAGTCCTTCACTCTTACCAGGAACTCTTACTCTTCAGAGTCTTTAACTGCAAAACTCATAATGAATGTCACACTGATGAATCTAATACGCCAAACAAATGTGTCAGACATTTTGTTAATGAAATAAGAGCTTTCATTTAAAAAAACCGAAGGATTTTTTTTCATCTTTCTTTAACTATCAGTGATACACAGCATTGTTTCTTTTTTAAATATCTATCAGTCATTTGTTTCCGCCTTGAATATTTGCTACGGTCTGTGAAATACATCAACATATGAAGATAATCGAAGAGCGACCCTTACAAGAATCTTAAAAAGAGATCTGGTGTGTAATCTCTTGCACTACTGTGTTAGTCTGGCCTACACTCCACAGCAGACAGATCTGGTGACAGGCTGCCCAGTCATTCCTGCTCATCCCCACAGGAATTTTGGACAGAGCGGACACAGACGGAGCACATTTATTACACAAGTGTGTGCAGGCCTGGATACTGTGGTATGCGAGTGCTTATCGTCACTGTGCAAATAAAATCTGTTCAGGTAAGGACTGTATCAATTTATTTTTAAACTTGCGTTATGACTTTACTGACAATACAAAGATAGCACACGCTTGTGTTGCAAAGTTAGTCTGAATTGTTTTCTGACATGAACTGGAGCATCCTGTGTGTGCACAGGGACTTTTCATGGGCGAAAAATGAAGGCTGGACTAAGATCTCATCATGCTCAACTGAGGCTTTAACTCAGAAACCTGTGTTTGCAGCATAGCTCATTTTATTTCGGATTCAGGTCTGGACCGTTTGGTTCACTGTGGGGTAAACACACACTGTGGGGTGTTCTGAGGGAAAAGAAGCTAAAGCAATGGTGTGACAGGGGTGCCCTTGATCAGTCCTATGGCAGAATGGTATCATTTATAAAACCTCATATCAACACCACCATAGCCCAGAGGAGAAGACACTGAGACAGTCCTGGGCAACGCGCGTTGATCAGCTGGTCCAGCCTGATTAGAAACCCATGCTCTCAAGGAGGAGGGTTAATGCCACAGCACATGGGATGATATAAATCCTTGCAATGAAAATGCAGGTTTGGGCTACGTTCTAGACTGAGATGCACACGAGATTAAGCCACACACAAAATCTCGGGCCGCTCTCGTGGCGTGCTGATCTAGCACGAAGCTTGTCCTCCACCAGCCTTCCCAGTACTGCTCCCGAGCACAACTAGCTGATCGTCTTTATTCCCTCCTACCTGTGAGCCAGGGCTGGGTATTCACTTTGCGGGCCCGCTTAAGGCACTGCTTCCCAGTCATCCAGTACAATGCCACAGTGCCCCTCAGCACAGCCCAGTGTCCCCCAGAGCAGCCCAGTGTCCCCCAGCACAGCCATGCCCCCCAGCACAGCCCAGTGTCCCCCAGAGCAGCCATGCCCCCCAGCACAGCCCAGTGCACCCCAAGACAGCTTTGTCCCCCAGTGCAGCCCAGTGCCCCCCAGCTCAGCTCAGTGCAGCCCAGCGCAACCCAGCGCACCCCAGTGGCCCCAAGTGCCTCCCAGAGCAGCCCTTGCCATTGACGATGTGCATCGACTGCACCTACAGTACCTGAGGATCCAAGCTGGCCTCATGCCTCTTTCCCCCACTGGTACCTGCACAAGCATAATGCACAAGCAACCAAGTCTCGCACAGTAGTGAGGCAGTGGATATCAGTTCAAGAGATGGATATCGAGCCTTTGGCCAAATTCATGAACGCCTTTCCGAGCACTGAGGAAATCTCTACATTGATTCTGCAAATACACAGGGGTATCTCCATAATTTAGCTTAATTAAATTCTGTACGGTGGCAGTTTACCTAGGTTCTAATCTCCAGCCTTTATTTTGAGTTAGATAGCCTGGATAAGCATGTAAAGGCATTGAAAAGCTTCCATGTGCCTTCTCCAACCCTACCCAGCTACAAAGATGGATTGTTTCTGGGCCAGTCGTTCTCCCACTGAGCTGCAAGGATTTGCATTATTAGAATGAGCAATGGGTCTTGAGTCTTCGACTTATTGCAGCAGGAATACCTAGTACCCTCACTGTTTCCTTTTTAATCACACAGATTTTCACAAAAGGGAATTCTTCACGTTTGTCAATATGAGAGTACAAATAATCAATTTACAGAAATGAGGTGTCAGACAACTATTCAATGCGCTTCCATTTAAATTCATTTTGTGTAGTTACTACTTTGCTCATAACCTTGCAGTTACGGTATTATGACACATGATTCGTCTTCTTTTCCTTATTCGTCACTGCTCTAGGTATGTCTTATTTTTATAGCTTCTTCACTGAACATATTTTCAATGCTTGCATCTGGATTTGATTTTAATGCATGTGCTAATTTCTGTTCACATTTCTCACAGCACACTGCTGATTGGTTTACTTTGCCACTAATCAGTGAGAAGTGTTTCTCCCACAGAATTTGGGACAATTGTTTTTACATGAAAGAAATAGCAAAGCAAAAGTCCTTCAGATGGTCAGTAGGTACAGCTATTTGTTTTTTCTTACCTTGACAAATGTCTAAGGCGAACCTTTCTTCCTGTTAACAATGTAGAAGCAATTACTGAGCTGAGTCTAAACTTTTGACTTGCCCTGTACAGAGCAAGCCCTGTAAATTAGTCATGAATCGAAAAACCTTCCCCAAGGAAATAACGAGTCAGTTCCCCCCTAACTCCCTAAACTGGATAATCCTAGCACTTAGACACACGAAAGATATTTTAAGAACCAAATTTGTTGTTTGGGTGTGAAATATCTACATTTTTACTTCGAAAGAAAAAAAATAATTGCTATTTTCAAGAACATAACACACACAAAGTCCTCCTGGAAGCATACATGAACATGTTGTAGTTTTACTGACAAGCGCTTATTATACAAAGTTCTATAGGCTTGGAAGAGAGCCAGGAACAATGTTATCCGTCACTGTGTGTAAAATGTAAATTAATTTCAATCAAAAGGCTTTCGTTTTGGAACGATTTCCTTGTTTTCACAGCAAATTCTTCTCACACGCAAAGTCTCTTTCTCTTTCTCTGTCTATTTTACCTTTTTTTTCCTTGACAGCCCAGGTGTAAAGGGTGAGGCGTTGGAAAAACATGCAATTCGACAAGCATGTCATTAAGGAATTCTGTGATCGCTCTCCCTGTCCTGGTATACAATGACAAACAGGGTAGCAATTTTCTGCCTCACTTGTGAAGCAACACAGTACCCCTCCACTTTCACTTACAGGAAATAGCCGTCTCCTTATTCCACTGAACTTGACATCACATTCTGTCTACAAACTATGAAGCAGCACCCAGTTCAGGATAAAGTACTTTTTTATGTCAGCAGTATATATATTTAAATGTTTCCTAGGTTATGTGTAGGTCCCATATATCACAAAATATGACTACCCTTCCCAGATAAAATATGCACTGTCATTTATTGTGTTGAATCATATCTGCTCAATTTTCTTTTACACTGTCTTTGAACTAAGTATGCAACCACAGGTTGTGCGTATAATTAAAGAGCTAATTGGTAAAAGAATTCATTGGTAACCACTCTTTCATGTTTTGCAACACACCTTCTTATTTTGTTTAGGTGTTATTTTTTTATTTCTGTACTAGACACTTGTATTCCCAGTGATGCACTGCGAAACATAAACAACTCATTGAGGAATAATAATATGAGCAAAATAAACAGGCATTCACAGAAAATGGTGGGTAGCTGCGTCAGCATGCGTAGGCTGCAAAGGAACAAGTAATAGGTTTATTCCTGCTGAAAAAAAGAAGAAAAAACACAACGTCTCGGCCATGGAGCCTTCTTCAGGTGACCTTCTTCAGAAGTTCACACTTCTTCAGGTGTGAACACCTGAAGAAGGCTCCACGCCTGAAACTTTGTGTTTTCTTTCTTCTTTTTTTCAGCATGGAATACACCTATTACTTGTTCCTTTGCATTCACAGAAAATGTTATCCATCGAGGCTACAGATGGTCAGGAAAGCATGATGGGAGATAAGGAATCAATTTCGCAAACTCAAACCACTCCTGGTATGCAGGGAGGTACGTCATGGCAGATAGCTGCCTTCTGCCTCTTGGGTCCTGGGTTCAATTCTGGTCAGATGATCCTTCTGTGTGGAGTTTACATGTCTTTGTCGTTGGCCTTGTGTCTCCTCTCCAGGTGTTCTGATGTCTTCCCAGGCCAAGACCATGCTGTCTAGGTTAATTTACTTCTCAGATGTTCCCCATGTGGGTGTGTGCCCTGTGTTGCACAAGCATCCTGTCCAGGGTGTATCCTGCTTTATGCTCATTGACTGCTGGGTCAGACTCTGGCACAGCATGAAGCGTGTAGCAGTGTCATCAGAGTGAGTGGATCCTGAGCAAGCCCATCTTTGTTTTTTAAACTTTTTTTTTGCCTGTTTTGCCCTAAGACATCGCCTTATAAGAGAGGGGTGGAAATCGTTTGCACAACAGCTAAAAATGTAATTTATGTAAAGAACCGAAATCAGTTCTAACAACAAACATCATTTTGTTGTTTTAGTATACTTAAAAGCAGATTGCAAATATTTTTCTTAGCTTAAGAGTAGTCCGTCCAAGGGCACTGAAAAAGTGTGGCTTTAAGGCGAAAGATAAGGTTACACAGAGTTCCTTCGTATTGGTGCCGGTATTTTACTGACGCACATTTATTTAAAAAAACACAAAACAAAACAAAGAACACACGAGTGGTTGTTAAGGATTTTTTAAATACTAGCAGCGTTTTTGTTTTACACACCTGTCACAATTTGACGTTTTCAGACATACCAGGTTACATTCCTTATCTTTTTTTGGGGGGGGGTTTGTTTTGTTTTAGTATTTATATCTGGGCTAAGTGAAGATAAAAACAATCCATCCCGTCCGTGTTAAATAGCCGCTCAGTCCAAATCGGAGTCGCGGACTGTCCGGCCCACAGCGTGGGCGATATTTAAAATAGCTGGCTCTTGCCTCAGTGCAGGCGGCGAGTGACCCGTCCTGTGGTCCCCTGTCCTGCCCACTGCGTGAGACTCTAGCGCCTGGTGCTCCGAACACAACTCTGAATTCTCTAATTCGGGGCAGTAAGTCAATGTTTTCACTACTGATTAAATCACTCCCAAGTGCCTGAAGAATGTTTAAGGTGGATACTGAGAAAATTAACCAATTGACCTTCTCCTTTCTTGCCCCAAGGATAGACAGGCCTACTGGGAAAATCAGCTGTCAGGACCTCCTCATGACCTGCAGTCAATGGGAGATCTATTGGATCATTTCCACCCAAGCATGGGCATCCTGCGAGGTTTACCAAGAACCATAGATAATCCCACCATTGAAAAAAAGACTTTTTTATGAATCTCATACTCATATTTTACCAAATGTTTCTAGAATACATATTAGTCACTGTAGTATTATATTTTGATTATCTTGTATAATCCGAAATCTGGAATAAAAAGAAGTGCGATTTCCACCTTTTTTTCTTGCCGAGTTTGGTATTAACCTTACTCAAACAAGGTTTTATGATCAGGCTTAATTTCCGGTAATGTTCCAAATTATTTTAACAACATCACAAAAGCAATTGTATCAGCAAAAAGGAATTGAATATTCAAACTGGTGATAAATGATTACATTTCGCATTGCCCCTTTTACGGCTTCCATTTACCTATCCTTAACAGATACGAGCTGTTTAAAAACCGAATCATTCAAATCTGATTGTGAACATATTTAATAAACTTTAAACGAGGACGAGGTGTGTTTTGTATAATAAGCTGTGTACAGAAACTGATGAGAATCTTAGATATACTTGGTACAGTAAGATGACAGGGTTCGCCTGGTTTAATTCAGTGAAAATGATTTGTTTTGGCAGGATCTCTGATTTCATTTTACTTTTGCAAACAACAAAAACGATAGGTCCAAAAATACATTCTTGTTGTCCACGCTCCGGAATAAAAACACAATCACCCGTTTAACTTTTTAAATCACCCTTTGGATGTGCACGTAAGTAATACTTCTTGAGTAAAAAGAAACATTATTAGTATGCAGTTCCAGCTTGAATTGGACTAAAAAATATGACTCAAGTGGCGCTACAATGTCCTGTAGGGATAAGCTGTCATATTGGTGAGAGGGTAATTGATGCCTCATGCTTTTCAGGGGCAATTATCGCACCAAAATGTCAAGACCTAATTTGTGGTTTTGTAATGTGGACACATGGGCCTGAGAAGAGGCCACTTGTGGTTTCCTTAGGGAAACACAGCCAAGTTTGGTTAGCAGATGTGAAAAAAGTCCAGCTTTAGACCACAGTGTGTTTCAAATAGCATTACAATTGTGGGTTTACAGTAAGCACATGAGATAAAAACATTGGTAAAACTGGTCAAAGTGTATCTATTTAAATTTCAATGAGTTTTGTGCTGCATTTACATTTTAAATCTCCTCTGCTGTCTTGAGACAGGATTATGACATTAAAATAAAACAACAGTGCACAAGTCCATATTATTTTGTGCATGAAAACCAGCATTATCTGAGTAGACCTGTGTGTTTCCTCATCTACTTTTAAAGTCAATTGATGAAATAAACCTTGAGATCTGGAGCTGGTCATGATGTGTCTAACTAATCGTCCTGTGAACACAGTAAATGACCTTTAATTCTCTGCAAAGTATATCAAGCATGAATGTTAGAGACTCAAGAATCTTTTCTCACGTCTCCAGCTGTTAAAACGTCAAAGGAAACAAAAGACGCAGAGCTGGAGATTCCAATTATAGAGCATGCCACACCTTAGCTCCACAGAAAGGTTAGCTTAATCCACAGGTGTCCATTTCTAGTCCCAAGGAGCTATTGTCCAGTGGGTTTTGTTGGTCTCTCTGTATCGCCAACACCTCAACTGGAAGAAGGTGTGAAACCTGACCCATTAACACACTAATTGGAATTTAGATGTAGGAGCCCAAGATCAATTGAAATCCTACAGGCACACCAGCCTCCAAGAGTGGACACCACCGTCTCAACACACCTGCTATTTTGCCAAAAGAGCATCTCTGTTATTCATAAGCAGATTCTGGAATTACGCATGTAGGGCTGAACACTGTTTCATTTTTTAAACCCAGAACTAAGAAAAATCCGTTTGTGATTTAGTGCATATTTCTTGCTACCCACTTTCTCCAGTTGGTGGTGCCAGATGACAGAGTCACATTTGAATTGGTTTATTTTACATTGAATTGAATTGGTTTATGTTTGTTATTTTATACTTTGCTGCACTTCCATCTGTACAAAGTTTTATTCTAACAGGCTCTTAAGATCAGTAACTGTTACTATTTGCGCTGGAACCCTAAATATCAAAAGAGGGGAGACTGGAAATCGTGAGTGTCACAGTATTATGGAAAACAAAGGGAAAAAACACCTCCAGCTTTTTGTGTGTGTATTTGTACAGAAGACCCATACGTTCTCCGATAAATTCAAAAAGTGTCAGAAATGCATGTTTATAATTAAGAAAGATTGACGGAGCCAAGAAAAGTACTGCATAAAGCATGTCATGTATGTCATACATAAAGTGAGTGTTTAATTCATTTCGGTTTTCGGTCCTAGACAGTTAGGTGGTAACTTATAATTCTTATTGCTTGGGACCTACCATTAACCTAAAAATAAGACTTCTAATTATGTAATCAGTAAACAGCTGGTGTCTGAAAGGAAGTCCTTTTTAGCAGCTGTTGTTAAAGCCTAACAAAAGGTAATCATTAATACCTGGTAGCGTTAAAATAACACAGCAGATACTCTCGGCTAACCCTGCCGTCTCTTGTCTTGGCAGTACAGTACAGTAACACGGTTTGAGCACAGGATGAGATCCATTAAATTCAATTCTAATTGTAACGCTGCTACTGTAATTAGTTTTTCAAGACCAGTGCCATCCCAAGAATTAATCCATATAAACAGCCATGCAGAACTATTATCTGACATTACCTATTGGTGAGCATTGTAATTTATTTTGAAATTAAAGAATAACAAAGAGTTTTAAATAAATAGTTGCTGATTGTATTACAAAGCACGATCTCTGAGCAAACAGGAACCTGCTCTTAGAAGCGGTCTTAACTTTAAACAACAGGTGAGTCTTTACCGCTTCCCTCAGCAGTGTTGCGACTCGTGAGTAAGATATAAATTATGCTTTACGATAATTGAGGCCAACAACAAAGCTCCGTCAGTATATTTCCTTCTGAGATTCATCACAAGCTCCCCCCCCTCCTCTTCCCCGGCTGACAAACACAAAAGCCCTGAAGATCAGAGAGCAAGGAAATGCTGACAAGAGGAACCTGGAACACCTGTACTGCCTGAGTGGACCACAAAGAGAGCCCAGGCAGATCAGTGACATCCACACCTGTCTCCCAGTGGACTCCCTCACACACCTTCATCTGCTTGGGTTTCTGTGAGAGCCATTTAAGGCTGCTTCTGCGGAGGTGATGAAAATAAGGGTGCATCCATTAAGTGCGAGGAACGGCACACACTTTGGGGCACGGATGAAGGATTTAAGTGTTTACTGTAAAGCGCCACAGACCACCTGCTAGTGGGAGGGGCAAAGGCATCTGTTTCGGGCTAGGCAAGACGTAAAGAAGGCTGCCAAACAGCAGCTCAGCCACTGCCAGAAGAGGGGTTGGGCATCAGGTAACACAGCCGTGCTTAGATGCTGATTTTCCAGCATGTTGTAAACGTGACCTCCAAAATGTCAAGGAGGCACTTATAGCAACTAAAAAAGACTGGAGCTAAAAGCTCCATTTCAAGTGTGATGCAGTCGGTGTATTCAGCTTTCTCATGCAGAACACAGGGCACGGTCACCAGTGTGAAGTGCTCACTTTGCCCCAGACTGCTTTCAGGGCGAAAAACCAAAGAAGCTGGGAGACCAGAGCAAACTCCAGGAGCCACATTGAAGGAAGATTTAAAAAAATGGTTTAAAAGACACTTAAACACTGGGCACAGTTTAGCTGAGGGTGAAAAAAGACTTTCTGCAGTCAGTTTCTTTTATTTTAGTTGAGAATTTTATTTTATCTTTGTGTGTATTTATGTATGACATTCTGTGAATCTAATGGTATTCTGAAGACAGTTAACCGTTAAATGTGTGGGGGAAAAACACATGTAACTGTTTTGTGGGAACTGAAAAACAAACATTTTGGACATTTTGATATTTTTATGTCAGGACTGATTACAGGACTCCTTCAAATAACATCAGATGAAAACCAGGATGATTGGAGCCATCGTGGGTTTACTGGAACAGGCTGACATCTTCGTATTTGCAGAGCTATCTGATTGTAAAACTATTCAGAGACCCCATGGGAGTGCTAAAGGAAGATTTCTCCCCAAGAGGCGGTAAAGATTGAGAAAACATATACAGTATAGCTATTGTGAAGTGAGAGAATTAGAAAACCCATAGAAGAAAGTACGATGAGCTCTGAAATCTACTTTATCACACTTTAAAGGTGTAAATTGTCAAAACATGTGAATGATTTTCACTACTTCAATTTGTGTTTATTCAGTTTTCTTCTTTCGGTTCCCTGTTTGGTTCACTATTCCTATACCTGCTTCTTATTGCCATTTAAGTCCCTTTCTCTTACATCACATGCCTGTTATTAAGGAAACTATTAATAATTTCCCAGAGAGGTGTTATGGAAAACCAATGTACAATCTGTACACAGAAGTTAAAATCCAGTAGGTAACATCTCAGACATTCCCAGCTTTTTTCTATACCAACTATTTCACTCTATGACTTATGTGTAATTAAATGTTTGGAGAAAGTATAGTTTAGCTATGTTGTGAGCACGACTGTGACGAATCCTTTCATATTCCTGTAAGCTCTTACCTTTTCTTTCTACCTGCAGTACGTTTTGATGGTGTATGTTTCGATGATGGGAAAGCCCCACTGCTGTCATAAATACTATGGACTTAGTTTGGAACTGGCTCTGTCAAGACAGTACCTTGGCTTCAAATCACAGAGGCGCGGAGATCACAGAGCATAGCTTTCATGCTTTGACACACAGATCCTTCCAAGCATTTTGAAAGCCCTTCATAACAACATGAGTAGAGATCAAAAAATGCTAATTTTGTCATTGTACTCCTTTGTTTTCAGGGATATTTCTACTGTAAATGACTAGTCATTATTATGGTTGCTCTACACAATTCTATCGGTTATTGTCATTGTAACTTGAATCCGTATTTTTTCTTTCCTATACAGGAGTTCTGAAACCACATCGCATTCTTCCAAATCAGGCCCCGGTATGTTATATTTCAGTAATGCCTGGTTAATGTCAAATGATCTTCTTGACAGCTTAAATGTATCAACATTGTATATTTCCCTTAAAGTGGGATGTAATGTACAAACTACAGACAGGGCTCCTGAAGTGTCATAAAAGGATGGGTCGTAAAGTTTGTTGCCAATAAAAGAGCACTGGCCATTTGGTGCTGGTCTGTGTTTAAAGGTATTATTTATCAAGACACGAGTCTGAAACTGTCAACAGAGATTACTTAATCCTTATCGCTTTGACCTCACTTTTTACTAGGCTATCCAGTACTCCTAAACTAAAGGTCATTTTACTTCACTTGGGATCTTGTCAATTGAAAGACAGTACATGAACAGATTTCCTGGAGTGACTTTGGAGCTGTTCATTGGTTATTTTGTTGCTATTAACACTATGCTGTTTTTATCACAGCGGTAACACAGATAAAATTTCCTCAAAGGGCCATAGCATCCCATTTATGTATTTAAAAATCCAAAAGGGAGGATAATTTCACACACTACAGTGGATAAAATGTCTACATTTTGCAACCAGGATGTTATGCAACCAGGGTGTTGTAGGTTTTTTCATTTCAATTATTTTTCCTAATACTTATCTATTTTTCTCTTGAATTTTGTTGGTTGCAAGGTCACATTAAAGATGGGAAAAATGTCTGACATGATTTATCTTGATTTCTGGCTTTACATCACAAAAATTGCAATTTCAATACGGGTGTGTAGACTTTTTATATCCACTGTAAATGTTGCAAAATGTCTTAGCACACGAACTCTATTATTTTTAACCCGGACTGATATCTCTGAGTTCACTGAATGTTTTGGACGTATTTTGAAACTCATAATCTCAACTAGAAACATTTGAGAACATTTCTGCCAATGAGCTTCTGTGATGACAGTTTTGCTGTGCCAGAATGATTCAAGTCTCCTGAGGATTCCTAAAGAAGCTTTCTTTTCCTTAAGTAAGCAGCTAGCGTGCAATATATACAAAAGAGTGCATTTACTGTTTCGGGCTACATCATAAGGAAGAAAGCTGATATTAAAAAACTACATTACACACTATATTTATAACAGTTGTAAGTTGTAAGTGAACAAAGAAAACACACCAAACTGAATTTCAAACATTTAATTCCCAAGTGAGTTTGTACTGCAGAGAGAACAGCATGTCGAAGGCTTTCTTGAAGAAGAAAGAGGGAAGACTATTATCACTGATAGGCCTTAGCAGAAACCTTCTGATAACTACAGTAAGTATATTCTAAATTAGTATTCGGCTAGAAAGTAGGAAAATATTTTCAAATGGATTAAAAATTAAATACTGCTGCCTTTGTCTTGATAGAGCATCAATGAAAATATTGACGCCGTGCTATATTTCTTATGAATTCATGTAAATTCCGGTTTTCAGTAAAAAATAAACTCTCCAATAAATAAATATATAAAATAAATAGATATCCGGGAATTGCATAAATAACACCATTCGAAACAATACATGTGTGAGTCTTTTTTTTTCCCTTTCTAATGCTGTCACTGGTTTTGAAGTCCCAGCAGTGTAAATCCTTCACAGTTCCCCTTGAACAGAGACAAATCACCGCGGTAGCCCGGGGTAAATCCCACAGATTCTCTCCCATCCCGTCTCGGAAGCGGTACAATCCCATGGAGGGCCAGCGGGGGCTTTCGGCAAAGTGCTATTCCACAGCCCTCAGCGTGCCCACGTCACGTCGCTCATCCGACAGCTCGGTGCAGGACCACCAGGTTTCAAGCCTGTTCCCGTCAGAGTCACCAAACTGTCCGGCTGGATCCCGGACCCTACGCTCCTGCACATGTGATGCGGGTCACCCCTGCTAGTCTTCGGGTGCCCTTGCTGCACCGCCAGGCCGACAGGCCCGCATCCTCGTTCCCATGGTAACCTGGCGCCAAGGACGTATCCTCCCTGAAAGCAGGCGTCGCTGCGCCTCAGCTGTATCCCATCACATCTCGGTACAGCTCCGGCACTTTCTCCGGGTCGACCGGCCGCGGCAGGAAGTGGGTGAACTTCTGGTGCCTCCTGGACCGTGTCCCGTCTCTCGCGGTCCCGTCCTTGTTTAGGGCCACGAAGTAGCGCCCCCCCTTGTACAGGTTGGAGGAGTAAGTGTTGTACCAGTTCTCCTCAAACTGCTCCCTGAAGACGCAGTCTGCTGTGAGTTTCTCCTGAGGGAAAGAAAGGAGACTCGTCACACGGGGTCACGACTGCGAGCTGCACAAAGGGTTAACATTTCACGTTGACGATTTAGGAGAGAAATGTTCAGGTGTATTATTTGACCCTTAAAGTATATTTTACTGCACAAATAATTTAAAAAGAGTGTTAATGGGAAATCTCAGGAATCTGTAGAATATGTACGGCACGAATATAGAACAAAAAACAGTGTATATCTTATATTATGACTGGGCAATTGTGGGTATATTTCTCGTGTAAATGTTTGTCATGATGTTATGATTTCATATGTTATACCCTCATCCATTCCTGGGCGTTCAAATGTCATACATTCAGAAGATCGCTGTTGGGTTGCATGAATGTATTCCCATTTGAAACACGTTCCAGGCAAAACTTTTTTTCTGAATGACCCACGATGGGGAATCACGCCGCTTGCGCCGCCTGCTGGGGCTTGCATTCAATGCACACAAAAAAAACAGTTCTTTCGAAATCCAGGGCTGTACAGGGACGGGAATTTGAAGAACGTGAAACACTGGACCCTGCCAAGTGAATCTGATCGGTTAAGGGGTTTGCACAAAGTAGGTGAATACTTACAGAGCCATACAGTCCCCCCTTTTCGTTCATGGCCAGGTATAGTCCGCTGTCTACTCCTCGGATGCTCACCAGTCCAACTGCAACGCTGATGAACTCCAAAATACCTGAAACAGAATCGTGCCGTGTCAACGCTTATCCGTAAAGCCTTTTTACGAGACAATAATAAAACGTTTACTCTCGACAACCGTGTAATCCTTCAATAAATGGAAAGTGTTTCGTCTTTTCGTCTCGTGTATCGCATCCTATCGTTACCTTTCAATTACGATTGGGGGAATATGTACGAAATGTTGGGTCTTTAGCGACTCCAAACTGATACCAATGATGCTAAGATGTAGTCTGTGCTTGCACACAGAGGTGATTCAGCGCCCACCACAAGCAGGGTAGAGGCAGAGTGAAATAGAAAAAGGTTAAAGCAAACGCCTCTCCAGTCATCTGATACTTAAAGTTTTGACAGCGTGGTCCGTTTTCAAAATCTAGAGAAATAACTGAATCGTTGAGTAAACGTCGAAGTAGATGGGTCGTCATTTGGCATTTTGATATCTTTTAAAGTTAATCGTGTCATCTGAGACAGCACTACTACAGTAACTGTGACTACCGATGTAAATAATAGCAACATTAATAAGCGAGGTCTTACCGAATCGACTGTGGTCTTTTCTGGTGCCTTGCACTGTGCCATCCGGGTGTATTTCTAGGTGAAAGCCAGTCCTACAGTAAAGCTGTCGCCTCCGAAGAATGCCCTGTAAGTGCGTCAGGTCCGCGGAGGTGCTCCGGGAGAGTCGCTCAGCCTGAACCAGGTGATCAGCCAGTGGCCCTGGGCTCTCCACCGCAGGAGGCAGGAGAAAATGAGATCCGACGTGCCCGAAACTATCCAACCCTTGGAAAAGGGTCCCCACTTCGCCTACAGGAGCCATCAGACAGCCGCTTGCTTCGCAGTTCCGAGGAGCCGGGAAGCGTGGAAAAGAAAAAGCACCTTTGCAAACACAACAGATCGCCGTTTGCAACACGTTTGCATCCGAGCCCGCTATTCGGCACAAACGGCCAAAGCAGACTTGATCCTTCAGACTTGAAGACTTCTTCCCTCGGGTTAAGTTTGGCTGGAAGTTTCCTCTACTGCTCTTCTCCTGCACTTCTGAAAGGCTCTGGTTCGTGCTACTGTGTTGGATCAGATCAGGCTCCTATTTAAATGCCTACCGTATGTAAATGCTCCCTGACATGCTAATGACGCTCTGAAGGCAACGTTTTGTGAAATATTACTCCTTATTGTCCGCACTTCAGGTGTAAAAACCAACCTGTTTGCTCAAAGTCGTTCAAAGCTGCGCTACAGCAAAGACATTTGCAACAGTTAAAAAGCAGATCATGTAAACGGCACATACATAAAATATACAAGACGCATTGATAATCCCCTCAGGTATGCGATGGTTCTTTGCAGATTCGCCAGGAGACGGCTTATCTCAGAGTGATGGGAGAATCGCAGCCGGCAGGTGCAAAGTGGCAGTGAATTAGGGGGCGGTGCCTGGGTGATCTTTAAAGAGTACTTTTCATCCTTTGCCTAGGCTGAAGTTAAACAAGCCTCCGCTTTTCAGGATTACATGAAATGTCTTTTAAACATAGCCTTTCTAATATAAAAAAGTCTGTGACTGCTTAAAATAAATTCTCAGATTCGGAAAACGTCACATAAACTTCTCAAAGATGGTGTACTGTTTTTTTTTTTGTTTGTTTAGACTTCGCAAGTTCCTGTCACAGCTTTGTAATATACTGTGTATTTGCAATATTACAATATTATAACAGCGTTTACAGTATCTAAGGGTCGGGTCCTCCAATTTCACAACACGTTGTGCGGTTTTGCTACTGAATAATTTTTATCACGATTCCTATATTCAGGTACTCCTGATATATCGCAGCTTCTGGGAATTCATTCTGCTCTGCAAATATAAAATAGGAACAAACAAAGGTTAATTCTACACTCACGCCTGAAGAAGACTGAACCTTGGGCGCACCCCAAATTTGAGCCGGTGTATAAAATAGTTGACATATATGCTAGATTTACTGTATGGCTTGCGTGTGCACCGTACAAGACAACAATCTACATTAGTCATCAATTTCCCTACGGGATTAATAAAGTATTATCTATCTATCTAGTCCATTGTTCTCAATATATGAGTTTCACTGTTCTCCATGGTGTTACAGGCTCAGGGTGCGAGTTACCCATGGATCTTTCGTAACTTTTTTGTAACCTCCTGTACATTTTTTATTAGAACTGTTGGGCTTAGAGTTCTTTTGTCTGTCTGGAATGTCTGTGGAATATCTGTGAGTTCCAAGAATACATTTAGGGAAGTTATGTTTTACCATCGAAAGTGTGAAAGGAATTAAACTTAGTGGTTTACCAATTGATTAACCTTATGTGCTAAAATCCTCCATGTAAAGGACACGTCTATTATTCGATGTAACCGATGTTTGTTCCCCCCATATTTTCTGCCAATGTTATTCATAGCTTGGTAACGTTTTCCCATGACACAAGGGTATAGCGTTCAGTTTATTTTACCAAAGACTGGACCTTAAGCTGTATATTAGCTCTTTCTACTGTCACTGGTGCAATGGCAAAGAATCTAAATATTGCCATAAAGTTTAACCGAAAACAAATAGACTTTGATAATCTTAAAAGAAATGATGGATTGTGGAGAGGGTTCTCTCGAACTGCGGGTGATTCACTGAGGAACCGGCCTGCTGTTCTCTGTTTCACCTTTGCTTCACAGGCAGATGTTACTTTATTTTACCTTTGGATGTCGAAGAGCTGTTTTGTGGTGAGCTCATGGGCAACCATAATAAGGATTTCAAAACACATCTGTGTAAATGCTATCACTTCGGTGTCACACATCAACCGATCTGTCTCTTCTTTGAACAAAATCTTCTTAATTGTGGTGTAAAAAGAAAATCAAAGAACGAGCGATCAAAGTTGAGAAACTCGGCCGGGACTCGCATTGCTCGATTAGCTTCACAGAGCTTTCTACACAAAGGCATTAAACGTGTTTGAAACCCGTATCAAGTGTTTCTTCTTCTTCACTCGAACTACCACAGCGCCCGGGAAATCAAAACAAAAACGTGATATTTACAAACACAGGACTAATCTTTTCCTTAATCAGCTATATTTTTATTGCTCAGAAAGAGGGTTTTTTTGTCAGGACAAAAACAAAGTTCGGTTTATTTTTCTTCTGAATGTGATAGACTATACAACACAGACGGGGACGGCAGAAGCACCGAAGGGCTGTTTGGGAATCGCCTGCTCATCCCGGCAAAAAGGTGATTCATCAGAAAGAAATCTCTACAGATCTGTCCGTCATTCCCCAAGCTCGTTAGTATTCATGAGTGATAAATAAGACCTCACCAACCCAAATCAATTTTATCGCTGAAGAAAAAGATCAATTTAAATGTAAATCGATATTTGCAAATACCAGTATTAAATACATGTTTAAATTTGAAAAGACAGAGAAATTCTTTCTTGAAGCCCTGCGAATGTATTAACATAAAAGTACTTAAAGGGGATTATTCGAGGAGCAAAATTTGATTTGAAGAGGATTTGAGTGCAGCGCGGGGTATTGGTTAAAAAGCTTGTTAATAAATTGTGAACTACTTTGATTTTTTAAAAATTATTGCAACGCAAGTGAAAACGGAAAACGCATGCTCCTGTGAAGGACAGTAAATCTCTGGGTTTGATACAGTGTGCAAAGCTTGACACAAGGAACTATATTGATTGCTGTAATTTAGAGGGGAGCTGTAACATGCAAGAAGATGCAAGAAAGCATCTTCTATGGTAAGATCGCATTATTACGACGTTTTAGAAAAAGCTATGCTTCCTACTCATTTTCTTTACAATCTAATTCTATGGCAAAATCAGTCAAACCCTATGATGCTGAGTGACACTAATGAAGACTGCATGAGGTGTCAAATTCTTCACAAGAAAACTTTTTGTCTGTGATTCATGGAAAAGAACATTATTTTAGAAAAGGCAAAGAAGTGGGGTAAAAAAATCTTTAACAAAAATACACATCAGTGAGATGCCCCAAAGTAGCATGCACAGTTTCACCCTGGGGCTCCTAGACAAGCTGCAGGGGAATCTAGACCCTGTCTTCCCAGGAGTAAGAGTGCTCTAGGGAGCAGACGAGGGTGCAGTGCTGTGAGCCGTCTGGACAAGACCAGAAATTCAAACCTCCAGTTTGCTTGAGGTACTGTTGCTCTTTGGTGTTTAGGATGTCTCGATGAATGCAGAAGAGTTACCTCGACCTTATCTGCAACTGTTCCAAGAAAGCAATGCTGTTCATGGCAAAGTCACATGCACAGGAACCAAGGAGTGAGATGGTTCAGGCAGGCAGCTGCGTCAGCAGGCGAAGGCTGCAGAGGAACAGGTAAAGGTTTATTCCCGCCGAAAAGAGAAGAAAGGAAACACGAATAGAAAAAAAAGAAAAGGCTGAAACGTTGTGTTTCTTTTCTTCTCTTTTCAACGTGGAATAAACCTTTACTTGTGACAAGGAGTGAAATGGTTTGCTTTTGTACTGGCTCGTTAATGTCCAGAAAGCAGCTTGGTTGCATGTAATAAAATCCATATTTAGCGATTCAGTAGAATGTTTAAGCATCACCAAGACCTCCCCTTTGGACCTCAGTCAATGTCATGAGTGTGTGCTCAAGACCTCGTCCTCAGCTCCAGAGAGCTGTAGTTCTCTCCGAGCCAGCTCCCAGGTGGCTCTGTGGCCCAGCCCAGCACTGTGCTAGCAGCCATGTTAGACTGAAGTCTCGCGCAGGAAACTTATTAAAGCCGCGGCCTGCATTAATGATATTGTTCACACGAGCGCTCTTCAAACCCAGATCCCAACAGACAACTGAAGCTAGAAGCGATGAAACTCTCAATGCTGCAGGATGAAAGAAATGGATCTGGCCCAGGTGAGAAGTGCAGATGTGGATTGGACCTCCAGGACCCCTCACAAGCTGGCAGACAGAGTGAACGGTCGTGCCACTTCACTGCTTAACAGCTTTGGATGCGCATCCTCATTGGATGTCTTACATGCCTCAGCTCATTCACAGACAAAAGCACAGTCAAGTGCAATAACTGGTCAATTCTCCGGCCTTTCAGCTCCACAATAAAAAAATGTGTTCCTCTGTTTCTAATGATCATGGTACTAAATAGAAATGCAAATCTAGCCAGGTACAATAGGGACTGGTGAAAAGCTAATCACCTAAAATATGTCTTTATTGAGATCTACAGCAAAGCCCGCGGGCCCCCTGAAAGTCTGCTAACTGGCAGGCATTGTTCACACGGCGGTAAGGTTGTGATCATAATGAACTTTATGCTAAGTGCGACGAGAAGCGGTATGCATGCTCAATTCGCGGAACACAGCAGGTTTTTTTTTTCATTTTTCTTCCCAGCACAAATCAAGTTGGCGGAGTATTGGGGGAGGCGATAGAGAAAGCTGAATATAATTTCGCGACCCTCGATCTGACGTTTCATGCGGACTCGGCTCGGGGCTCGGCTGCTGCCGGCGGGGAAGGGTGTTTTGTTTTTGTTTTTTTTTGCAGGGACGAGTTTCAGGTGCAGGGCTGGTTGGAGTCTCCCCCTTCCGCGTCTCGCGAGGAATGAGACTCCGCCGCGCGTCGCCTCTCCGAGCCCGGGCAGCCCCCGCAGTGACGCAGCGATGGCCGCTACACGCAGGCTGCTGCTGCAGCTGCTGGCCGGCCGGTCCGTGCAGCACCGCTCGCCGGCGGCGGCCCGGGGGAAGCAGGCGGGGCCGCTGAAGCCCCTCGCCGCCGGGGTGTGCGTGGCCGCGGGGGCCGCTTATCTGTGTTACCGTGCGGTGCACGACGACGGCGAGGGAAACGGCAGGCGGGGGACGGGAGGGCGGCGGCGCCACCTCGGGAGCCGGCAGCTGCGCCCCTCGCTGCCCGCCGTCGCTGCGAAAGAGAAGGTACGGTCTGGGGCTGGACTGGAGAGGCAAAGCACTGCGCCTCTCATCGTCGTCTCAGCTGACAGCGAGGGAGGGAGGGGGGGATTGAGGAATTGTGGAGGGGCACCGAGAAGGACCGTCACTGTCAGAAATTCAGAAATACGTTTTTGCCCCCCTCCGAGTGTTATTTTTTTTGGAGACACGGGGCCGAGCTCGCTTTTCTCGCCATAGCCCCCCGCGGCACGTTTCCGAACCGGGCGCATCACCCCGGGCTGGCTGCCCAGTCTGCTCGCCGGCCCTGTCCCGATGCGAATGGGATTTACCACCTTTCCCAGGTGTCCAGGACCCGGTGTCCAGCGCCTCCGCTCTCCGGTCTCTGGTGCTCGGGCGAGCGCCGGGCTGGTTGGGATTTTGACCCGCTGGGGAGTGGGAAGAATATTTCATTTTAGCGGGCGCTGAGAAAGGGGAATGCACACTTGTTTTTCCCTGCTGTATGGGGGCAGCTGAAGTTGTGAAACGCCGAGGAGAAATAGAGACCTCGCTGTATTGTTTTCCCTTCCTGAATGTATTTCCCAGCCAGCCGCCACCCCCTCTCACCCGGGAGAGCGCTATCCGCGGCGGGGCGGTGCTGAAAGAAAACCTCACTTCGCGCTCGGGAAAAAATAGCAGGTTGAAACTGTGAGCCAGGGCGGTTTTAGTTGAACTGATTTGACGTTTATAGTCTTTTAATAAAAAAAAAATGTGCCCTGCGTGGAAATGTACTTTTACGGTTTGTTTTTGCCTTTCATTCTCAAGGCTGGCTTTTCAGTCGTGTTACACGTCAGTCGTCGCATTGCCCTGCGCGCACATCGGAGTCACCTGTTGTGCTGACACGACGGAGCCATGATGAGTTGTGTTGTCCCTAATTCACAACCTCATACATTCCTCGGTTTACACAGCCCGCACATTGTTGTGTTAAACTGTGGCGAATTGGCTGGGCTCACACTGAGCACTCCCATCTCACGAGTGATCAAGGGCTTGTGTATTGTGTCTTGATTGAGTATTCACCCCTTTTGTGATCATGCTCCCATTTCATTGACCCAACTCAACTCACACATTATGTATGCACATTTGTTTTTTTACAATCTGAAGGTCTTTTGATCAGAGCTTGAGTGCTCAATCTGAACATCTTTGTTGGTGAAAGAAAGTTAAATGTCGGGAAAAACCTAAAAGAAAAAAAGTGGTGTTTGAGCCTTAGAATTCAGTTTTCTCTGGTATGTGTGAGTTGACATTTTTTTTCTGTTAGAAGCCAATTTAGCTTCTATGGACTTTTCTTAGAAGTGCTTAAACAGTTCTGTTTAAGCAGTGTTTTAGTCACAAATAAATATAAACGTTCCTGAGAATTTCCATATTGTGAACTGATTAATAGTTTAGATATTATTTAACCAGCGGTGAGAAGTGCACCATATTTAAAATAATAAATGTTAATTAACCATTTTTGCCCATGAAACCCAGTAATTGAGTGGAGTGCTGCTTCTTACCTTATCTTCCTCGAGTGCTTGATTTGAAGGCCTCTTTCTTGAACCCGTGCTACAGTGAGAGTTTCCTTACTGGTGTACTTGAAAGAGGGAGGTTCATGAGCCATGAGCCTTTCAGGGGGCAGAATTCTTTCGAATGATTTTAGGATCAGGGCTGATTTCTTTTTTGTACTGATTGATTTGAAGTGTGCGGTTGTGTGCATGCCCCTCGACTTCTCCGGCCTCCTGCAGAAACGTAGCGCAGGGAACCAGCACCGATCGCAGGAGCAGAGGGCACGCAGGCCACAGGTGTCAGCGGAGTCAGGGGGGCACTGTTCTGTGGGGGTCAGCAGCGATATAGCGTCAAGATCCATGATGCTCTGGCGGCAGAGCAGGGAGATGCCGATACTGGGTGAAACCTGTTCTTTGAACATATTCTTGCCAGCGTCCGACTTTGTGTTCTGCGACATTATGCACTGCGAGTACTTTCTGTGCATAGAAATATAGTCTGGCGTCGGTTTGCTAATCTTTTCACGGAAAGTGTCAGACGGGACGCCAGCTCTTATCCTTAGCTGAAAACCTTAGTGGGTAAGGAAAGTGGGCATTTGTTGGATCTCTTCATTTGGCTCACTTGTGTTCTAGCAACATCTTTCACATTGGGGAGTAACAGTTTGCTGAAGTATCAGTGATTAATGATCTTATTAATTATGTCCTTAGCCTACAGGGAAGTGTGTGCAGCTCTGTGGTTGCTTCTTTCTTATTAGCGAGCTGTCTACGTGACATATGATTCCTGGGTAAAGCTATTTTTAGAGAGATAAAAATAGACTAGCAGCTAAAATATTACTTAGAAGGGTGAAACTAAGGATAGAGCAGTATTTATTTCCATCCATTCACTGAGAAGTCATAAAAATCAAAGAAGAAAGTTTTTTTCTTTTCCATTTAAGAAGTTCCAGTTTCATACGAAAGTTCAATATTTTATTCAGAACGTATTCTGTTCAGTTTGACTTTCAGCTCTGTGACTCCTGGCAGGAGGTTATGTTTGGAAATGGGCTGAAAGAGAAACTGGGCTGTGCGTTGTGCTGGCCCGTCTGAAACGGGGCCTGTCTCTTGTTTTCTCAGTCCTTTTGTTTTCTCTTTCTGCTCTTATGAAGACATTTTGAACTCGCTGGTTGTTCTTGTAACTTTCCCACTGGGTTCTGTGCCGTGTCCTGGCCAGCGGATGGTGATTCCTGTCCCTGCTGCTCCCAGGGAAGGAAGAGCTGCTGATCCCGCTGGGAGAGTCTAAAAAGCCAAATTAACTGGCGATTTCAGATTTGTTTAAAAACAATGCCAAGCTTAAATCTTCTTGCAGTTATTCAGACCGTTTTAAGAGTGGCGATGCTGCGCCGGTCAGTCTGTCTGGTCTCTTTGGGTAACCTGACCTCGACTGGTGGCTTGAAACTGAGCTGACGAAACTCAAGATGCCGCGCTGGCAGTGGGTGGCTCATTCGAGCTGGGTGACAAGGAGACGGACACAATCTGTGCTGCCTCTGCGTAGTCCCTCACGGGCCTCACTTCACGCTGGGCTGACCCGGCCCGAACCCAGCTGAGCCGAGGCCTTGCCGGGCCTGCAGATGGGCAGAGGGTGAGATGGTGTTGTCGGAGACGTAGAGGGCCCTGCTTTCTGTCTGCACTCAGTGCTGGTTGCCAATGAGCCCTCAAGGCGCAATGAGTATGAAAAGATGCCACAGTGTGGCCTGTGCGGAGTGCAGCAGATATCAAGCAGTCACTTGAATTCCTACACAGATACCCAGGCTAACGCTCATCCGTGTTAATTGGCGATTCAGCCATACAGCTTAATTTCATGGTTTTTCTAAATGTGCTCGATGAGACTCAAGGTAATAAAAGACAAGAACAGTTCCGAGAGAGACAGAGTGCAGACAGAGTGCAGGGAGTGCAGGGAGCGTGTCACAGCATGTTCATATGCATAGGTCCTCCGCACCACAACCTGCCCTAATGCGATGTTTCAAATAAACATAATTCCTAAAATCCCCGTTTAATTTGTGAAAGGTATTATTCTAGGCATTCATAAAGTTGTCCTGGTAATCACTTTGCATTTTACCATTTTTGTAGCACTTGAAGCCATGTGAAGCATTTGAGGATGTCCTAATCTGGCTGATATGGACATCCATGAGAAATATCAGATCAAAAGCTAAGCTGCTATAATTTTCAGTTTCCCTTCTGTTTTTGCAATAGTTTTTTTTTTTTCTAAAAGTGAACAACAAAGGCTTTGAATGTGGCACACTGGTATTTACTTTGTTTCGTGGTCTCATTCTTGCACTTCAAAAATACTGTTTGACAGCAATACCCATTAGCACCAACGGACAGCAAGTGCCTGTGACTTCTTACACAGTCATAAAACTGAAGTCACATTCTAATCACTGTTGCGATTCTTCCTTGGGCCCAAATTCAAAAGACAAACTAAAAAAAATGGGAAAAGGGAAAATACTGAAATCTCTTCTTATAGCGCTAGTGAAATTTAACTTGTAATGTTGTCCTGTTTAGTTTTTAATGCCAGTGGTGCATGGGTGATACAGATCAGCGGGCCACTTCAGGATGTCCTCTGTAGGTAATTGAATCTAGCTATTATTCTGGTCCAATACGCTGTGATCTTCAGGTTTCTAAATAAAATAGCTTTGTCACCGTGAATTGTGACGCAGATAAAATTGTTAGACATCATTTTCTACGTTCCTGCGTCCTGTTTCTGCAAATCCCCTGTCTTTGTAAAAATAAATGCCTTCTTGCAGACGGTCCTGATCTCCCGCTGCCAGCTGTAGAAAGGCCCGCGCTCCTGTCTTGCGAGAGCGCTGTGGCTGACACGATACACCTCGGCCCGTCAGCTCCGGCTTGTGAAGCCGGTGTCTCCTGGCTCGGCTCGTGCCTGGCTTCTCCAGAACAGAGCTGTGCACAGGGGTCGGCCAGAAGAGCGAGTTCAGCCGATTGGTTGTGTTCGAGGAGCGTTTGGGGTTGATGAATCGTTAAGTCGCTTTTGCACCTAAAAGCATCAAAAGCTGGGAAAAAAAATGAGCGTTAATACATCTCGTCATGTGTTTTCTGCAGCTGAAGAGTCTCCGTGACAGTCTGAAATTTCCGATGAAAGCTTCACAAAAGCAGAAGGAGGTATCACATGAGCAAATATTTGTAGGGGTATCAACAAGCTTCAAGCGTGATTTTGTAATAACGTGCTGCCTGTACAGAGAAATCGCGAGACTTTGTGATGTCTTGTGGTTTTCTTGTTGAAGAATGATCTCTAATTGTCATTGGACTGTGGGGTTTATATGATTTCAAATCAGATTATTTTTGTCTGCCAATGTGATGGTCTAAATGGGAAAAAAAAAAATATGATTTACTATTAAACTGCTTATAACAGAATTATCTTCGACACCGACCTAAGGTGCTTAATTACTTTCGTCCATATTAAGAGGTGAAGTTTCACAGACCCGATTGGAGACATGGACAGTCCGGCTGTGTGATCTCCTTTTTTGGTGTCTATCTATCTATCACTTCCCCTGCTTCCCTTTACACTTCTTTTTCCCTTTTTTGTGTTTTATATCCCTTTAGACTTTATTCCCTTTTCCCTTTATTTCTACTAATTAGCAGGAATTGAGTCTTACCTAGATCCTAAGATTGGGAGAAGTAGTGCCTCCAGAGTCAAAGATGATTTTTTTAATTATCCGTAACGATAATGATTTTAACCATATGCGCACGATCGTTGCGCACCATGAAATCTCCATTCTGTTCAACAGGATATGTGCCTGGATGCTGTGGATGACACTGCAGGACGGTCTGTCTTTAACACCTGAAGGAATTAACTGAATCCTACAGAACAAATGACTCAACTGGGCCTGTTAAAGCGAGCGTGTGGTTACCAGGTGGAACTCAAACTGAATTCTCTGCCTGCTGTCTTTCGTTTTAGCCCGTTGCTTTCGACTTTGAGGACGGAGACGTGCACATGTCCTCTCACGAGTTCAGGTTCCGCACGTTTTGCTCTGTGGAGTACGAAGGCCAGCTGTACATGACTCCGCAGAATTTCATCGAGTCGGTCACGATGAGCGAGCCCAAGAGTGAGTACCTGCGTTGCTTTCACCCATTAACGCGAAGTCTACCTTTTTAAGGGAATGGTGGCTGTACTGTCTGGTCAGTAAGTCTCCTTGGTGGTTCCACTCCTCTCAGCATTGAAAACCTGTAGGAGCGTAATTATTAATTACCCATCAATTTCCCTTCGGGGTCAATAAAGTCTCATCTATATATCTTATTATCAATTCCCCGTATTTCATTGCAATTACATGCTCACAAAAACGCAATAAGCATGGAGGTGTTTGTTGTAAGAGATGTATGTGTGTTGATATATTCATTGACCAACTTTCTCCCGATTAAATACGTTCATTTGCAATTTTATGCCTGCATTGATTTTAGTGTCTGTAGTTATTGTTGAGTCAGACAGCTTTCATACCCCTTACAGAGGAAATCTCGTTAATCCTGGTGGTACAGACAAGCTATCAAGTCCTTTCTGAGTGTGCCCTGGTACATTCATAGCTGCTTGTGGATGCTTTTATTGTAGCATGAAAACATTTTTTAAAATCTTACATGTGGTGAACTGTGTGAGTAGTTGCAAAATAGGCTTGACTGAAAAAAGCTAACCCAGACATAACACCTGCATTGAGATACAATCTCGTCCAGTGTCACATTTACCACTTGTTTCTGAAATAGTTACAAACAAAGACTTTCTCGTTGTGCACTTGGGATCAAAGAGACTTCATTCTATTTCTGTTTTTTTGTTTGTCCAGCACAGTTTTTACTGTGCCTTTTTTATGGACTAGTGCAACACATTTTTTGCCTTGTCGGAAATCAGAATTCAAGTTTTTAAGTTTTCATTTTAACACTTGAAAGTATTTTCCAGCAAAGTTATACATTTTCCATAGATTGATTGTGGAGCTGATGTAAATGTAAGTCAGTACATACTGGAACAATGCCATGGTCAGATAAATCCTAGCCTGCCACATTGCTTTGATTAAATTGCAAAGCTACCAGAATTCCAGTTCCTGTGCTTTTAGTAGAATACTGCTGCTTAGAGGTGTTGTTCCCAAGGTGGAATCAGGGCTGAAGTGATTTTGACTAACAAATCAGAATTGAAACGATTGAGAAAAGGCAGCCATACATTTGGAGATCAAATGATTGGATCTAAGAAACATATCATTTAAGATTCACCTGGATCCCTAAATTCACAATTTATTACTGACAGAAATCGGGGATTTTACATCACTGAAGGATTGCAAAGGAGTACTGACTGGCTACAGGTTGATGCTATATTTTAATTATTTGGGTTGGTGACTTTAACATTATTTTCTCTGGAGTTAAAACAAATGCTCAGTCTTCACTAAATCCAGGAGTATCCTTTGTGCAGTGAGCATTCACTTAAGGGTTTTTTTTGGCAAGTATGTGTGGCGAAATGTCTTAATGAAGTTTATGGTTTTATATTGTGGCTGTAAAGCTTGAACTGTGTGTGCTCAGAGAGGTAGTTACAAGGAGTCTCTACAAGACCTTTATTTTCAAAGGACACATGGTGAAGCTTTATGATCTAAACAGATAAAAACCAATAATTTGGTTAAAGTATTAACATAAATCCTCTTGCAAATCCAGTTTTATACCTTGGTAAACTTATAAAACATTGGTGTAGAATATGCATTTCTTTAAGGCTGAAAGTATCCTTATTTCTTAAGTCTTCATATTTTGGGCCTTTTTCTTCAGTAAATAACTCGAAGGACGTGTCAAGTAAAATATTTTATCAAAGGGTATTTTTATTTCCTTTCTTCTCAAAGTTAATATTTAGCAATTCTGTACGAATGTGCTTGGTATATGTGCCATATATCGAGGATTTACTGCATCTTTTACACCTTTTCTAAATGTGGGGGTGGATCTTATGTGCTGACCTGAAACAAGAAGCTTATAGGCCTTTCATATTTGGTAATGTACCTTTTCCAGAGCACTTAGAAACTTCATTGCCTAAGTTTTATTGTGCACCAGTGTTTATTTTTTACTTAATTGTAACGTTTACTATGATTTTTGTCAGGTCTTTGTGGAACAGCACCATACCAGTAAAATACACCATTGAAGATAACTAATAGGAAAGCACCAACCTGTTGGGTGAATGCAGTAAAAAGACCCAACTAATTTAAACCATCATGTGCACAAAACATTAAGTTCACCAGAACAGGTCTTCATGTAATTTTTTTTAATATATGAAGAGTAGAAGCACAGTGCCATCGGTTTTAAAAGTTAGAGGAACTGTGCTGGATCTCCTGCTAAATGTATTAGGAAGTGCTTCTCATATAACAATAACTTTTATAATGGGTAGAGGAAATTGCATTTCTAAATGGGAAATGGTCTTTGATGATGCAGCCATGGTTTTTTCAAGTAGATGAAAGAATTAAAAAGAGCACGTGCAATGTGGCTGTACATACTGTTTAAGAGCAACAGTGGAAGAAATAACTTTTTATGCATTTTTATTTATTGCTTTTCATACCAACATCATAAATCACTGTGAAATTTTAAATACCATTCTTTGTAATAGGAATCTCTACCTACTGTGGCTGAATAGCCATTCTGATGTAGTGCTATCCTCTCTAGTACTAAAACATCTATGCAGATTTCATCCTAATCAGACTGACTGAACATTTTCAAGTCACGTTACATCGAGATCATTTCGAGATTTGAAGTTCACTGTCATTTGTGCAGGCAGTTTTAGTCTCAAATGCTTGCTGACTATTTGAAGTTGGTGTTTCTGACGTTCCTTCAAGCTGGTTGCTATGATGAAAAGTGCATCCTGGAGGGATTGTGCAGGACTTGTCTGTTTGCTTCAGATGGTGTAGGTTTTAAACTTTGCCAGTGTAAACTGTCTTCTTTTTAAAGTCTCTCTGTAGAGCAGCCACAGTAAATAAGGAATAATCTTAAGATGTTTGGGACTGCGAGTAAATGGTTCTCCTCTTTGGGAAAGTCACCAGAACACTTCTAGACCATTGTTTAAGATAGATAAATGACCTAGAAAAGTAATGTTTTTTAGTTCATTGCTTGGAAATGTATCAGTTTTCCTGTCAAGGATTAAATATATCCTGCTTTTTCTCCTGGAGTCCATTACAAACTTGTGATGTCAGGGGCTTTCTTAGTGTTGCTTAGTAAAGTTTTTAGTAAGGAATGTTGAAGACCTTTGTAAACATTTCTTTCTTTAGAAAAAAGCTTAAATTGGTAAATGTGTTCTGACTTCAAACCTTGAAACCATCCCTTTTCAAAGTACTACACAAATGAATGCCTTTTATTTAGATAAGAATTTTTCTACTTGAAATGCTTGGTTTTGGGGCATTTAATTTTGGGGATCTGGAGGGATGTTAAATGACGGTTGTCCTGTGAAACCTTTTCTTTTAAAAAAATAGTGTTTTAATATTAAAACATACAGAGCTGGATCTTGAGTTGTAAGTGAACTGTAAAAGCTAGAGAGTGCCGGTTCGGTTCCACTTTTTGCCACCAGAGACCTCCCAGTGCTGTAAGCCAGATGGCTCGAACACTGCTGTCTTCCAGGTGGGGTTACTGGTGCAGAATGGCCGCTGTGCGTCTCCCAGGTGGGGCTGCTGGTACTTCAATGGTATAAATGGTATTGATGGTGCAAATCAAGGGATTATCATCAAGAAAATAAACATTTTTATCAAAATACCAGATTTTAAAAAGTAATTAATAATGTAATATAAACTCGAAAGTTAAGTTTTGGCAAGCCATGACATATTTTTTGGTCATTGTCTACGTGGTGCTTACTTTTGTTACACAAATTCTGTCAGGCATTGTGTTTAATGGCTTTAGAAGTTATGTGTTTCAGGACTTTTGACTTCACTGATTGAAAAAACAACCACATAAACCCGCATAAACTCAGACAAGGCACGTTGCAGTGTAATACACCATCAGTGAGATAATCCACAACTGCCTTCCTAGTGTGTCAAGAGTAGGGTCATTGTCACTGTTATCTTCAGACAGTTGCGATAGGCCAAAGAGTTTAATTAACCAACAAGCACTTGAGCGTGTTTTATGATTGCTGTATCTTATCTCTTGAGGTAAGGTTTTTATTGAATATTGGAATGCTCAACAGGAGATTAGATGGGTGTATTTCATTGTGGCATTTGGTTTCAATGAAGATCTAAGTGTTTTCAGTCGGACATTTTCACTTTTTCATTTCAGTTTTGTCTGATTTCGAATCCTCCTGTGCTTGTGAGGGGGAATGTATGAAGGTCTCGCATGACATTATAAAGAGAAAGGACTTTATTTGCAAAGAAATTCCATAGTTCTTTCAGGTTTCTGTGATTCTTTGGTCTTGCAGAAGTTTCCATGTCCTTGAATCTTACAAAACTCCAGTTTACCAGACTTGGCATTTTTTCAGTTTCCCTTGATTGGCCTTGATTGCTTGAATCCACAATGTATCTAAATGATATGTGTACCATGTATCTTTCTAGATACAGTATTTCTATAGCCATTGGCACACGTTTATGTTACAGATGCAGTCACTTTTTTGGTTTAGTTTGAGTCCTCTGGTTATCTCTCTGCTGTCCTAATATAGTAGGTAGATTAAATCATGACGAGATGTTACTACTTTGTCTCCTAGTTACTGCCATTTTTTCTCTGAGAGCACAATCTGCCATAATAAGCATCCTAAGGCATGCTTTTTTAACATGCACTGAGCACCAGTCACACAATAATTCCAGCTCTGTTATCTCCCTTTCTAAATATGGTTTGAAGATGGCTTTAGACCGAGCTTGGCTAGGAAGACGAGTTTGGATTTCATCCAAATCCAGTAACACTTGAATGCGTTTTGCTCCCTTGAGCACTGTGCTGTGATGTTTTCCATGTCATTCAGTGTTTTGCAAATACAATCACATGGTTTCATAAAAAATGGGTTTGACTTGCAATTAATTGGAATACATATTAATAATTAAATTAGATTAAATGGTTCAAAACGTTGCTGCTACAAATTGACACATTCTTTGCAGAAAACACACTTCTGTTCGTTTTAGAGATTTGGAATCTTTTCAGCACTTTTTGTGTGGATGGAATCATTAGTTAAGTCAGTGGTTCTGATGTTCCCCCGCTCGTTTTTAGTAACCACTTATGCCTGAGAGGGTCAGTTCTCAAATTTATTGTATTGGTTTGCTATATAGTGAAAGATGGTATTTAAATGCCCAAAATTGCTGCTATTTTTTACTGCTAAAATCACTTTACTTTGCATTAAAACGTGTGTCTTTTTGTAGGCAAGAGGCACTGGAAATCACTCTCTAAACAGGTAAGTAAAAGGTGCATTACTACACCACAGTAACTGGTCAAGCTGTGACTGATTTGTGGGCCTTTATGAAATTTAAATCTGTTAAAAATACACAGTGTTGAACTTCTTTGGCAAAATGTTTTTAATTACAGTTAATAACAATCTGTTTCATGTTATTTTTGTCACTTTAGGTTTGTTTTTTATTATCTTGAGATTAGTTTTTATGCAATCGACAACTTGTGTTATTGTTTTCATGAAGATACTGCACAGCAATGTGTGACTGAATCCATTTTAACACCTGACTCATTCAAAATGTTTTACACCCTCAGCTGGTCTGCACTGTTCTGTCTCTTTATCTTTTAAAGGAACTGGAGAAGATCCTCTCGGAAACTCCTCCTGTGTGGAAAGGAACGTCAAAACTTTTCCGGAACTTGCATGATCAGGGTAAGACGGATTTATCCTGAGAGGTTGACAATATCGGGATCTCTCATCCTGTACTCATCCTTCACTTCATCTTATAAAACGGCATGTCGGGAATGTCAAATCCTCACATTTAATGCGCCAGTGATTTACCAGGAAGTCACTGGGAAAATCAAAGAAAAATCTCGGCTCTTCCTTTTTCGGAAATGTACAGTAGCAACTTTGTTTCTAAGATAAGCAATGAAGTACCTAACATGCGCATTGTAGACAGAGAACAGAAGTTAATAATTATTTTTCTGTGCACTGTGTTTTTTCCACTTCATTTGATTTCAGGAAGTTCACTCTGGAATATTACCAGTAGAGTAGGCAGTATGTAAGCATGGCTTCGGTCACGTGTGTGTGGCTGGGTGGCAGTAGGGCAGCAAGGGGATGAGTCCTTGGTTTAGGGGGTGATACTGTAACTGCAGCTTTTTCAGGAACTCAATGCCAGAGTAATCTAAAAACAGAGTTCTACGAGTTCCACTTCCTAGTGCCTTGTTCTGTTGTTTTGTGTATTTCTGGCAGCTTGTCACACACATACCACACAACGGGTGACATTAAAGTAAACCCTGATGACAGCCCTGCAATTAGGGGATAGGGACATTTCCCCCACCAATTAGTATTTTAATACATGTATTTTTGGAAATCCACACCTAAATAAAAAGCAAAAAGAAGACGCAATGTGAACTTTCTTTGTCCATTGTGCTATTTCACTTCTTCATCCCTTTAACTTGTTTTGAGTTTTCTTTTCTGCACAGAAGTATTCTGTTTTTAATTATTTGGTGACTTAATTAAGTACTGTTTTTCAGAGAATGTTTTGTCACTGGAAATTATATCATGGCTCCCCCGGTGATATTCGGACAGACATGCAGTTTTTAAGAAAACCACATTATGCGCGCACAGACCTATAGAAAAGACCAATATTCACTATACGGGTAAATGAGAATAGCATTGATCTTAATGCAGTGTTACACACTGGGATTTAAAAATAGTGTTTATTGATACAGGAGTACCTTTACCGAGTGCAGGTTCAAACACCCTGAAGTCTCTGGCTGTGTGAGGAGTTAATTCCCGAAGTTAAACACTTCAAGGGTTTGGGTTGGTTCTGTTTCCCTTTGTTTTCTGTGACTCAAACTAAGTGCCAATCCTGGGATTAGGATTGATAATCCTAGCGCTGAGCAGCGAAGCTCCTCAGAAAGCATGGGATTGATCTGTGAACAAAGCCGCTGTTTGGAAACCGAAGGGGAGTGTTTGAACTCTGGAGCGTTGGGACATGTTTCTGTGCCCATGTGTGATCACTGCGGTCAGTGCGAATCCTAAGAGTGGCCTCGAATTACATTTCACTCATAGGCACATTATGAGAAGGCGTTCCGTGGAATTTCTTGTTTGTATCAGTCTTAGGTATTATAGGGGACTTTGCTCAGAAATTATTTTTTTCCTTTTAACGATGAAGTTTTGTGACTTTTATGAAGAATACTTGGAATCTTTCAAGTCCTTTTGAGTTCTTCTACTCCCCCTTTTCGTGTCTAAAATAATTCTAAAAGAAACATTTTCCTTGTTGTTGAGATTTTTTATCTCGGTAAAAACAAACTTGCAACAGACAAAACGTGAACCGTTATTTTTTACAGTTGGCTGTCCGGAAGCATAAATTCGGCTTCATGGAAGCTTGCGTGAATAAATTGTAGTTATACTGAGAGTGGCTTTCCGTCTTTAGATAGGTGATTCATAGAGAATTTCTTTACTAATGGAAGAAAAAACAACCGTGATAGGTAGAATCTATCTAGTATGCCATTCTTCAGACAAATCTTCTGAACACCATATTGATATGGATCAATATTATTGAATCAGAAGGAATGTGGGGATAAAATAACAGTAATGTTTGGTAAGACTTGCGTACAGCAGGGAAAGAGTGAGAAATAAGTGACAGTTCCCAGTTATCTCACAACAGATGAAAAATACAATCTGTTGGCTGTTGGTGTGGCCAGGAGAGTCTGAACAGTCAATTCCTGTTTGTTTCATTACAGAGCCATAGCCATTCCAGAACCTTTCTCCCATAACACTCAGAGCAGCCACCCAGAACTATCTCTGCCCCGGCCACTGTCTTCCACTGCAAACAAGAGGACAGAATGCTTTGAGGGTCTGCCTCGTACAGCATCTCCTTGGTCTACAGGGATGTTCTCTGACAGTTGCTCTTCCTTTTCTTTTGTCCCGCAACAAAGGGAGTTGTATCAAACAAAGAAAAACCAGGTCCTAAATAATGAACTCCAAATCGGTGACAGATGGCTAAAGAATGTCTTACACCTCATTATCGGAACAGGGGGGGTACCACAGGACCCACAGGGCTGCTCAGTTTTGTTTGGGTTTGTGTCTGCGTACGGTCACTTATGTTAAGCCTCCATTTGTGTGAAGAGAACACCTAACCACCATTAAGAGGATTTTATCTATCTGAAGAAAGTAGTCAATCAAAAGCTTTGAAAAGTATTTTAAGCATTGCATCAGAGTATTGCTGGATAAAAGCATTTCAGTGTCTCCCTTTTAAGTCTAAATCTAAACACCACTATATTTTTTTGTGTGCATATTGTTGTAAAATAAAAGAGAAATATATTATGGAGAAATATGCACTGATTGGAAAACCATTTGATTGTTGTTTTAGGTATCATTGCTTACACTGAATATCTGTTTCTTCTTTGCATCTTGACAAGTGAGTATCTGTAAAATCTTCTATACAAATTTTCATGTTTCATATATATAACCTGCAAAGCTTTGTAATGTTGTGAAGTTTCATGTATAACATGCTGACAGCTTTGTAGTCTTAAGTTTGAGAATCAGTTTAATAAAACAGTCCCAGGATCAGAATTTCAATTATATTATTTCTCTTTTTTTTTCCAAAAACAACTGTTGAAATTGTGATGATATTTTTTCATCTTCTGTAGTCCTATTATTTCAAAGACCAGAAACTATTTGTATTCATAAATGTTTAAACCATGATCCTATGATTCTTGTGTTAATGTTTATCTGAAATATTTATGTAAATATATTATTTTAATACTCAAATTAAAAAGTACAAAGTAAAAAGTCAAAGTGTGCAAGAGACTGGCTGTGAAACTAAAGTTAAAATATTTTTAAGTACCATTTGATGATTTGCCTGCTCTCCTGCTCCTGGAAAAATACAATCCTAGATTATTCTATTAGGTCAGTTGGCTGAACTTGCTCCTGTTCTGCCCAGATTTATTCTGCTCATTTGCATTTTTTTACTCTTTTAGAGCCTCACGCGGGTTTTAAAATAGCTTTCAATATGTTTGATGCCGATGGGAATCAGATGGTGGATAAAAAGGAGTTTTTAGTGGTATGTATGCTATTTTAATTTTAATTCATACGGGGTAATACTTGGTGATAACTTGTTTTTAACTAGTCCTCTTTCATCTAATGGGAGATGATACAGTGTGATAAACCTGAGAATTTCCCATTGCATTAATGTGGTTTGGGGTCCTTGAACAATGCCGACATCTTACCAGTATTTGTCCAAATCATAACTGGCAAACCAAATTAAAATGATTAAAATTGTCTTCCAGCCATGCAATATATTCTAGAAATGGACTAAAACTTGTTAACTGTTTGGATCTAATAAGAATTTGTATTTTGGGGCAAATTATCTCATTCAGATTGAATGTCAAGGAAGAAAATAAGTCAGTATATGGAACAAATTATATTCATCTGAATAAAGGTCAGTTCTGTGAATTTGACATGGACAGATGTTTTCACACTATGTGTTCATTCTTTTTTGCATTTGTTGAAAAGAATTAAGTGTCTTTTAAGTACTTTGCTAGTTTCAGCGTTTTTCTTTGTTGTGTTACCTGTTTTTTTATGTTTTCACATAAAAAACATTGCGTTTTAAAACTTAATTTATGCAAACCTTTGATTAAATAGATGTAAGTGAGTCAGTATAGCACTTTGCAATTGTTTCTCACCAATCTTATCTTAGTAAGGATAACTGAAATCTAAAATTGTCAATAGCTTTCCAGTGAAAAAACGTGTAACACTTTCAGATATCCTTGACTTTCATTTAATTGTAAATTTAATTGTAAATCCTTTCTGATTGGATATGTCAGCCATTTCAGGCTTGGAAGATGGCTTTTTTGTTTAGTAACACAGTTTTACCTTTTTAAAAGGTCGGCTTTTATTTTCTGATGTTTTAATGTTCTGATCGTACCATGTGCCTGGGCAGCAGAGAGACTCTGCATCGTGGAACAGCTCTGTGTTGTTCCCTGACATCCGCCACTCGCATTCCTATTTGCTGAAAGATCATTCTTTCGGTGTTAGCCTAAGATCTCAGAACGTCTCAAACCCTTTTTCTTTAATTTTTTAATTCTTGTTCCTGAATCTGCTTGCTATGAACGTGTTAACTATTGTGCTGTCACTGCAGGATTGCTAAGTTCACATTATTGCTTTTAGTTTTTTAGATGGACGATAAACAGCCATACATACATTTTACATACCAGGGGGCAAATATTTACTTTATCAAAAACAAAAATCATATTCAGTGATTGGTAAAGTGAAAAATGAACCTTTAGGTTCTCTACTAATTATTTTGATGGAAGCATTGCACCTAGTGCAGTTTCATTTGTAGAAGTGTGCTTGTCATAAATTTTCAGTGGGTGTTTCTAAGTTTCTTTTGGTGATGGTACATTAACCCAGGAACAGGAAACTTTTTTCTGTATAGTTTGGCTTTCATAATTGTCGATATCCGTATCAAGAAAGAGGAATCGCTCTTGACATTCCCTGGCGCATCAGCCTGTGTTTCAGAGGATCACTAACTTCGGGGGCCTTGAACGTGCTGATGTTCCTCATTTCTCCAACAGGACTCATTGTTTCTCTCTGTGTTTGTGATGAGCCCTTTTCCTCATCACAGCTCTCTCGGGATAATTCTTTGTAGTTCAAGCGGGAAAGAGCCCGCCAGGCAGGGTTTGATCTTGAGGTAGATTTTAGATGTGTTCTACAGCACTTTGCGTGAATGGTGATTCATGTGCGACTTCTGTCTCACGCAGCTACAGGAAATATTTCGCAAGAAAAATGAGAAGAAGGAGCGCAGAGGTGATGCTGAGAAATCTGCCCTGCTGGTAAGGATGCTCACAGTCACCTCCTAGCGAGTGTGTCTAGTGCAGGAGGAAAATCGACAAAAAAACCATTGTACAGTACCCCTGGAGCAGTTGGGGTTAAGGGCCTTGCTCAGGGGCCCATTGGAGTAGGATTCCTTTGGGGGCCACAGGATTTGAACTGGCAACCTTCCAGCCACAGACGCAGATCCTGAGCCACAGAGCCACCACTCCGCCCTGACTTCAGTTTCAGAAGGAGAAATTCGTCACAGTAGATTTAAAAGAAAAACAACCTCAGTATATATCTTTGGCATTCCAAACATTTCAGAGTATATTCTTGTCACAACTGAGATTAAATATCAATTCTATTTCAATTGAAGGAAGGATTTCACTTAGGAAACAAAGTTAGATATTGTTCTTAATGTTAAAATGATAGAAGCCTGGTCTACTTTAATTTATAAAAAAAACATTTGTGTGTGCATCTGCACACCTCAAGCAGCATATGCTATTTACAAACATTTATAAACACTGACTTGTAACAAATAGGTGATTCTTTGTACTTTTTTATCAATGGTAAGTCCAAACAAATTATATGCTGATATTAAGGAATAATTAATGTAAAGTTATAATAAAGTAAGTATTTATCAAGAAATGTACATTACAGGCTATGATTAATTTTTCATGACATTAAGTACATAGGAAATTATATTATAGAGTTGGATATTTGACTTAATTTGAAGTTGCTGAAGATTTCTGTCTCAGATCTTACAAAATTCCATGTTTATGAGGTCAGGGGTTGTGATGGGTGTAATATATACATTCGTGGAGCATTTATCTGCTACAACTTAAGCCAAAATGTAAGGTTTGCGTACTTAACTAGCAAAAAATGTTTATACACATCCATGTGCGCGTAAACACCAGCTGCTGAGTAGAGACATGCCTGTGACCAAACTTGGAGTTCAGAGTCCAGTGAATCTCAGCACTTTCTACTGGAAAACGTGTCTTTGCTGTGGACAGAGAACAAAACCTTATATTTAGTATAAATTTGATATTTAAATATCCCAAATCTAATCTTAAGTTTTTTTATATTATAAAATTCAAGTCTTCAACTTATAAGACAACATTAAGACAAATAAAACAATTACAATTCTGACAGCACTTAACGTTCATGTTTTCCTTTTGTCTGTGTTAAAAGGAGATCTGCCTTTCCCTTGTGAAGAGGATTGTGTCTGTGTTATATGCAGCGTATTGAATGGTACTTATTTGGAGTCTCAAACAAAGTATTCAGTTCCTTATTTTCTGATTGATATAAAGTCACTGAAAACGACTCTTTCTCCAGTGAGATGACCTTGATTATGACAAGGTTAACTATGGTTATGAGTAGCTTCTGTTTTACTCTCACACAGTCCAGTAATGATTACTGCATCTGCTTTTTAACTGATGGTATGGGATTTATTTCCCCAACATAAATCATTTTCAAATGACTTACTGAAGTATTCCGTGTTTACTTATTATTAATGATTAAGATTGATTCAGATGAGCTTAAAATGCACCACGTTTCCGTGGAAGTGACATTCCTAAAAACATATTTTTATAGATGGAAAAGACGCAGGAACTGGAGTAAAACTATAAAAGCAAAGACAGCTAAGCAGACCAGAAAGAGATAATGAACTGACAGAAGCCCCCAATCTGTACTTCTCAAAGGGAAATTGTGACCTCTTTTTATTTGGATACAGTTATTTTACTGCACCTCAATTGCTAACTTTCCCATCAGAATCTTTGATAAATTGCAGCAACTCAAACATGATGAGAATGAATATGTTTGCATTTAAGGCTTAAGGCAAAGAGTGTGTGTTAATACTGTGCCTGTTTAACGACTGCCTTGCGTGTCCTAACATGTTCTGTTGTTCTTCTTCCTTTTATCGCATGCTGCTCTCTGAAATCTGACTCTGCATCCTCCTTTTTCTGTGTGTAAGAATTTGCAACTTTATGGATATCAGTATGCTCCTGTCAGCAGCGTATGTATCCCACCAGCATGGTATTTCTCCATTACTGAGTGCAATTGTTTCTTAAAATGCAGATTTTTAGAAGGACTGTAATTTGTTTGTACTGTAATTGAGGGGTGGGGGGTATCAAGCAAAACTCGCATGAAAGTTGAAGTGACTCTTTCCGAGCAATGTGTAGGGTGATTCAAAACTCACTGTGACTTCACCTGAGGGTTGAGGGTCGCTGAGGGCGCATCAAAGACAGTGAAGCTGCTCTTTGAAAATGAAGCCAGCATCTTCTCCAGGCGAGCTGAGGAGACTCTGGTTTGGCTGCCACTTTGTGACTAGTGGGTGCTGTTCTGGCCTGGCTGCAGCCGCTCTGCAGTCACTGCTGCGATGGCTCTCTTCCCCAAGGTATTGAGAAACCCTTCCCTGCCTTTTCTGGTTCCCTGCTACTCGCGGCTCCTTACTTGTTCCAGTGCCTTTTGAATCACCTTGTGGGTTTGGGTGTTTTCTCCCCAGTTCCAGATTTATCGATTTTGTTTTTAGATGTCAGCTTGTGGGCCAGAATGACACAAATTGATCCTTGTCAGGCTTATTAAAGCTTTTAAAACGTTTCCCTTGAAAGAAGTTACACAACTTGAATGGAATACAGTTGATTTTTTAATTTTGTCAGCTCTGCTATGTATATCTGATTTTTATTATTATCTGTTTTTATTTATTATTTTTTATTATTTATCTTTTTTTATTATTATGGTCACAATTAGCACTTAATCTCAAGGTGCTCCATCAGGTTGTTGAGGCAGATTTTTAATTGCTGAAATACTGGTGGCCTCGAACCATAGCTGAAAAAAATGCGCCCTTGTGTATTGAAAATGAATGAAACCCAGCAAAATCTTTATCCCATGTGCGGCCAACGTGTCTGTTTAAATTTATCATACTTTTTAAAAATACAGTGAAAGTGTCATGCCTGACAGCTTGTGGAGTATGGTTTTTACTCTGTTCAACGTTTTGTTGCACTTTTAAGATGTGTATATATTGTACTTATGTATACAGCTGGAAGAAGTAAGATGTGGTCCCCTTAGAAAGGTAGTCCCATTGGAAAGCTGACTCTCCTGAGCAAAACTGGATTTTGTATGGATTATAAATGTAGAAGATCTTCCAAGTCTTTATTTAACCAAAGTTTCTTAATCTGCTATTGCCCAACGAGTTTGACAAGGTAGTAGTGGAAGTCTTAAGTATTTATTTGTAGTCACGCCTCACAGCTTACCTGAGTAGCACAGGCCACAGCTGGATAGAAATCCAAATCCACTTGATAACATTCCATTAAACTAATTAAAAGCCAAGAACGTAAAGCAATAGTTAACTAGGAAGCTGAAGAATAAATTGTTTTTCTACCCTTATTTTTTAAACATTTTATGCACAAAGACAGCAAGGTGCCTCACAGCTCTTTGGCTCTGAGTTTGAGTCCAGACCAGGGTGCCTTCTGTGTAGCTTCTGTCTTCTCTCCTTGTTTGCGTGGGTTTTCTCAGGCCGCCTCTGTTTCCTTCCACTTCTCAAAGACTTCTCAAGGAAGGACATGCTGGTTAGGTTTATATTGATAAATGATGTGCCTTTGTGCATGTGGATCCTGAAGTGAACTGGCATCCTGTGTAGGGCCTTGTGCTCTGTGATGGACTGGTATCCTCTCCAGGGTGCGGTCCTTTCATTTGTCCCTTGATGGACTGGTTTTTAGGGGTCTGTCCAGTCTTATGCCTTGTGATGGACTGGTGTCCTGTCCAGGGTGTGTCCTGTCCTGTGTCCTGTGATGGACCGGTGTCCTGTCCAGGGTGTGGTCCTGTCCAGGGTGTGGTCCTGTCCTGTGTCCTGTGATGGACCAGTGTCCTGTCCAGGGAGTGTCCTGTCTTGTGTCCAGTGATGGACCGGTGTCCTGTCCAGTGTGTGGTCCTGTCCTGTGTCCTGTGATGGACCGGTGTCCTGTCCAGGGTGTGGTCCTGTCTTGTCCCGTGTTTCCAGGATAGACTCCTGGTTATAATGGATGGACATTAGATGGATAGATAGATGGACGTATTATTGCTTTTTTCTTTGGTAAGGAGGAGCTTTCGGGGCTTGGATGAATCATAAAACACACATCCATTGAAGCTTGCTTTGACAAACATGAGGTAATCGTGTCTTCTTCTGCAGTGTTTAAATTAAGTTAAAGCGAGGTTTCAAATAACTCAAAAGCCCTCATGCGCGCTTCATTTCCAAAAACGAAGAATACTTCAGACACAGTGGAGATGCAGTCAAACATAGCTGGAGATTTAAGGGCATTGTCTGCAAAGGACAGTTCTCACTGTAAAACAGTTGATTTATGTTACCTGCCTGCTGTCAAATGGAGTTCGTTGAGGCATATTACCTAAATTAAACTTGAGGGGCCCTCTTCTGTGAAATCAGAGAAACGTGGACAGGCCCCCATGCTTCACTTATACAGTTTCTTCAGGAGTGGTATTTTGGCTTTTGTAATATTTTGACCCATGACCCATATATACCATTAAACTTTAGGAACGTGCTTTATTACAACTGATATGGAATATTGAAGTCAGGGCTTTTAGAGTTTTCTAAGGCTGTTTTGATTCACAAGCCCTGTTTCAAATGGTTTTCATTTTTATCACCCCCTACCCCCCCAGAAAAGAAACTAACCCAAGATGAGAACAGGCATAAAAACTAGAGAAGAAAAAAAGAAAATCTTTTCATGCCTACATGTTAAGAGTTCCCCTTTAAAATTGTGGTTGGGCTTTTCCCCATATATTATAATTAGAAATGTATAGCTTTTATGATACTAGATAGGAATATCACTGCGCATTAAAGGATATTCCCTTAATTAGCTGTAGGATCATGTCATAAATCTGTCTCTTCTGAAAATTATGAAGTGCTTAGGAAGAACAGTGTTTTATCAGGTGTGTCAGCTTTCATTTTTCCCTTTAGGCATGAAAGATAAAAAAGTAAGAAAAAATATTGTGAAACGAAGCAAGGAACACACATAAAAACATGTGTACGGGGGACTGCTGTACTGCAGTTCACGTCTTGGCTGCCAGCGATGTTTTCTCTCTGGGGTGTATTGTTTAAACATGAAAGCACCCGTGCACTTTGCAGAATCGACACAAACAGGGCAGCACCAGTAACTCACAGTGGAATGGCCACTTCTGGTTTGGTTTCTTCCCTCGCTGTTATTATTTGTTCAGTGTTTCAGGGGCTGTCCCATGCTCCAGGGATTGTGCCCTGTGATCCCTTCTCTGACAGCTGGGGATTTCAGAGGAAACAGAGCCCTGCGCCATGCAGTGAGTCATTGATGGCGAATCTAGAAAGCAGGATTACTCAGTCCCGAGCCTCATGACTAATAGTGTTTTTGATTCCATTTTATCCAGCGGTGCTGCAGAACATGGCAGAGGTGTTTGGATTTAACTATGCAGATCACAGTATTCGGTTTTGTAATGACACAAGGATTCCCTTATTCTAATCTACCTTCACTTAAAGAAGGAAAGAGCACTGCTTCTAAAATCACCGTACTAAATGATGGCTATATTACAGAAACCTCCCAACTTCCAGCACTATGTTACATGTAAAGTTCAGCCGTCACAAGAAAATTGATATTACAGATTGCATTTTCCAGCCTCACATGTCTCCTACATGCGCTTTCCTGACATTTAGGATGGGTGTCAGGGTTTCAGAACAAGTAGTACAGTAAGATCTCAATAGCACTATTTTGTTGTCTGGAACCAGAGGAAGAGGAGTATGCAATTCAATGTGAGAGAGACATTTTACAGATTCAAGCAAAAAACCTTATTCAGATCTCATCAGTATACCAGTGATGGGGATTTAAAACATGCAAATAAGAAAACAGAAACCAGTAAAGGTTTTTGCCATACCCTCCCACAAACAGCACATGCCTGTATAGGCCACTGTGTCTATGAGCTGTACTAGCTAGTGTACTTTTGTAAATGGTATTATTGAAATTCAGACTGGGTGGGGTAGAATAGAATTAAAACCACTTTATGTATTTGTCACTCTTGAGTCTTGTTTCATATGAGCCATAATTGAAATACTTAACAATCACAGTTAAAATTTGACGTCCTCTGGGTTTCATGGGTAGCTAAGAGTTTGTTGCAGTGGTTTTCCTTGGATATAGACTCGGATCAGTTGTTAAGAGATACAGTTAATGCACGATTTCCTACCTAAAACTGGGATGTCCCAACTAAAGTTTGGAAAAGATGGCTCACTCAGGAAATTTCCTGAATTTGTGAGTTGTAGCCTGTGGTGGCCATGAAAAAATCCAATAGATACATAAGTTAGGAGAAATGTTAAAATAAGGAAGGTTTTCTGTATTATGTCCCTAGAGTCACCTCTTCACTCAAAACAAACTAGGGACTAATTTTGCATAACAAATTGTCGCTAGCACAGTTGAAAGTATTGCCACTCTCACTCTTCTGCTTTGTTGTTCTGATGAAATTCAGGCGCAACAATGCAGTTCCTTCTGTTTCTTTTGAAAAACATCTTCCTTGCTGCCTAAATTTCCTCCTCCAGATTAAAAAGAAGAAGGCCCCTACCTGCTGAGCATTGAGATTAAATGGTTCTTGTGAGATTCAGGTTAACTGGTTTCTGTTTTAGAATTCCTTAGTTATTTAATCCTCAAACAGGATCAGTAAAATGTTTTTTACTAATTGCTATGCTTTTCACAACCTCTGCAGGTTCTTAAAAAAGATGCTCAAGATTGTGCCCCTAGGAGCTACTGGGACATTCTGAGGCGAAGCACAAGCCAAGTCCTCTTTTCAGACCTTGCAGAGGTCTGGTCATGTTTAAATATCAGATCCTTGTAAAGGAGTGTTTTCTTTCACCTCTTCATTTAATCCCCTCATTTATGTTCATCCCAATGTTGTCCTATTCCCCATACGGTTTTGAATGCACCCTGTTTTATTTGTTGTCTTATTGAATTTTTTAAACAGTATTGAAAACAGTAGTTTAGACGTCTTCCTGTTCTCAGTGTTTATTTTGAGCTGTAA